TGTGAAAGTGTATAAACAAGCACAAAGGATTTGCCCATTAAGATTTCAATGACACTTTCCGTGAAAGAGCTGTTTTTCTCTCCAGTCTTCTAATCAGATTAAATTGTTTGGTGGATAGGAAAATTGATATTATTATGCTGAGGCATGGGATTTGGCTTGCCTTGTAAGGAAATGACAGCTGCTGAGCTTCATTGGCTTGGCATCAGCAAAATGTGGGGAGTCTGGAAAGAGGGAACAGGTTTCCGAATAAGTGAATCTGCCTTCGGCGCTTTGGGTGTGCCAAAACCGAACCAATTTTATTTGCATCATTCTGAAAGTGGCATACATGCAGCAGGTGATTTTAATATTGTTTCCCATTTAAAACAAAGAATAATAGCGTTGGAAGGGACCTTGGAGACACTTTTTACAGATGTTGCTGGTATCCTGCTATCCCAGGGCTTGCACGCCCGGAAGTATATATTCAGTATTAAAATTTCAAATAGGCTTTCCATGAACAGAGTGGAGGATGGGGAAAAGAACTCAGTGGATGATCATGTTTTGCATGCAAGCAGCTGGATAAAACCTTAGGCTAAAACCCTGGAGAGATATTGCAGATCAATACTAAGCTTGATCGGAAGGACTATCTCTCCTTCTCTCCCCTCCTCTCTCTATCCTACCCAATCTATGAATATTCTCTCTCTCTCCCTCTCCCTTCCTCCCTCTCTCTCTCATCCTTAGTGTTCTCTGAGCTTGTTGGTGGCTTTCTTGCAGACATTTCATTTCCAAACTAGGTAACATTATCAATGCACTGAAACATCTGCAAGAAAACCATCAAGCTCAGAGAACACCAAGGACCCCACTGTTTAAACCCACTTTGGTGACTTGGCAGTGGATGATTCTGGGAAGTTCTGAGGAGTCCCAAAAATACCTGTACCCCAAGCAGCCACAAACAGGTAATTGCCCATCACGCTAGCTGGATAAATAGCTTAGCAAGGCATTCAGCACCTTCCCAATTTCTTTTTCGTGGAAGAATTTGAAGGCTTGTTAGTTGAGCTAATTAGTACTTATTTGTTTTCCCCCACAAAAATATGAGATTTATTACAGTGTGTCAGCCACTGGTTCTTTGCTAAACACTACACCACGCTGCTAAATGAGGACAAGTTGTGTGTGGGAAAACAGCAGTGAGATAGTTTGGGGGAGCAAAGGTAGATGTGTTGCAACAGATTTTATTCTCATTTTCACCTGCTTTTTTTCCCCTAAGCCTGATTAGAATTAGAGCTTTTGGAACGCATAAGAAACTTAATGCCAATTTGTGCTAGTAGATACAGTCTTCTCAACTTTGATTTGCAATTCATGTTTGCATTTCTCTGCTAACAACTGCCTCGTAATGATGGCTTTGTATTTATCTCCTCTAGAACAAAGCAAATAGTAAAAAGGTTACACTGGTAAACCTTGAAAGCTGGTGAAAAACGTAAACCTGAAGGGGGCAGACGTTACTTTCTTTTTACAAGATCAGTTGAGCAACGGTGGTTGAATGCCTAAAATATTAGCTTTTACATTTTAAACTATTTTCTCTGCTGTTATGTGTTCATGCATTTTTCATTCCTGTTCTATTTAGCTTGCACACTAAGAGGCTTCATGAATAACCTTTAAGACTTCATTCCGTCCCTTGTCAACTTGTGTGCTCACTATAAATAATTCACATGGATGTATAATATCATGTCTATAAAAGTGTCTCAGAGGAAACACAACATAGTTTCTTATTAGCTGCCTACCAGAAATACTTATTTCCTTGCTATTTAGATTGAGGAGGAATGAGTCAACTCTTGCTGGAAGTTATATAAACTACAGTTCTATGGAAACATCAAACAGAACAAGGCAGAGTAGACAGCGAGCATCCCAACATAATATTTATGAAACTCCATTCAAGCCTAACCAGCTAACGCTTTGAGTTAAATAGGTATGGATAGGTGCATGAATGTGTGGCAAGTGAAGCTTTTAATTAAAAAAAGCAAACAATAAAAGTTGTAAATTGGCTGTAGCTCATCTACCTGTGGGAAGACAATAACCTTAAACAGCATTGCTAGGAAGATGGAGATTTGGTTGGTCAGTCAGCAAAGGTATTGTGGCCCAAGATATTAGGAAGACTCCAGAACCAGAAGGCAAGACAAAAAACAATGAATGGAAACTAATCAAGGAGAGAACCAACTTAGAACTAAGGAGAAATTTCCTAACAGTGAGAACAATTAACCAGTGGAACGGCTTGCCTTTGGAAGTTGTGTGTGCTCCATCACTGAGGCTTTAAAGAAGAAACTGGACAGACACTTGTCTGGAATGGTATAAGGTCTCCTGCTTGAGCAGGGGAATGGACCAGAAGACCATTCCAACTCTGTAATTCTGTTCTGTTCTTCAGATGGAAATACCTTTGTACTAGATTAGGCTCAAATGGAGCTAGATAGTTGGAGGTACAGCAAGTTGGGGAAAACAGCCATTGTCTTAGCATGTTGAGTGAACCCGCTCAGCCCATTTCAACTGGTATATACTGTATGACCTGTTGGGTCATAGCATGTTACATGAGGGGAGCAATTACGGTTTCCTTGATCCAAGTTTCCTGTTCTTTGTAAACCAGTTTTTTTAAAAGAATATGAGGGAAAAGAGAAAAAATAAAAAATTAAGAGGGGATAGTGATGGAAAGACACCCAGTGGAAGAAAATGAGAATAGGGTGCTGGTCAGCCTTGAGAGCTAATCGCTGCTCAGTGATGACAATGAGTTGGGGAAAAGTTCCTTCTCAGCCTAAACTTGAGTAAAAAGAAGCAGCAGGGACCAATGCCAATCAGAAAGGATGACTTGCATTTATCCCTGTAGTAAAGACAAATAGGGATCAATGCAAGTCAGAAAAGATGACTCGAGAACATTACAAAGCTGTTCTCTTTTGTCTTCTTTGTCTTTTCATCTTCCACAGGTTTCCTGCCTTTAAAAGCTGCACTTTTCCCTTTGGTCAAAACCAATGAAAGCAGCCTTGTTACAGGTCCGTCCGTCCGTCCATCCATCCATCCATCCATCCATCCATCCATCCATCCATCGAATTGTCTTGAGACATGTCAACAAGTGGCAATATTCTCTGAATTGAGAAGATAAACAGGGCTGGAGCTGATTGGGAGATCTCTAGATTAGGTTAAAGTCAATTTTAACCTAAGAACCTTGAAAGATGGGTTGTGCTTATGGTTAATATTGGACAGAAATTTAAAAAAAAAATCTGGATGCCAATTGCAAGTCATTTTGATAATGCTGCCAACAAAACCACCAAGAATTTGGTCATCAGACCAAATTTGGTTCCACCAGACAATGTCCTTAATTTCCACCTTCCTAGTTTCAGGCCAATATTCAAACCTGTATCCCACACTGGTTTCATGAACCAAGAGACCCTGTTTGGACTCTGCTCCATTCTCAATGGACATTGTAGACTTTGTCACGGTCCACTGCTTGGGACTGCTTTGAATAAGCCATCCATATGACTTAATTAATGGATGGTGACAAAGGAAGGACCTCCTTCTTCTAGCATGGATCTAGAAGCAGCCATGAACTACTGGTAATCTTTGCCTTCCAACCACAACTGGAACCAGTATTTCTATTGCTAAGCCATGCGATTGTTAAGGCACCCCTTTTTACGACATTTATTGCCATGGTTGCTGAGCGAATTTGGCTCCTCCCCTTGATTTTATAGGTTGAAATCTGGCTGGGAAGGTGGTGAAGTGGCAATCATGTGACTGCAGGACTCTGCAACCATCCTAAATGCATGCCCTTTGCCAAGCACCTGAATTCTGATCACGTGACCCTGGGGATGCTGCAGTGGTCATAAGTGCAAGGAACGGTCATACAGTGGTGCTTCAGTACACGTTAATTGGTACCAGGAGGTGCAACGAGTCCTAAAAAGGTCGAGTCCCAAACAAACCACGTGGCATAACTTTCTGCCTGTCCCTTTTCCTATGTCAGTCATCTTCCCAGCATGACCAACTTCCTGTCCGCCCTCTGTAGCCCTCTGGCTCCCCCATTGACTCTGCTTGTCGGAAGGTCGCCCGAAGCGGATCACGTGACCCCGGGACACTGCAACCATCATAAGTACATGCCAGTTGCCAAGCATCTGAATTTTGATCACGTGACCGTGGGGGAATGCTGCAACCCTCATAAGGGTGAAAAACGGTCATAACTCACAAGTCTCCTGAAGGCAGGACAAGAAGCAACGGGTGGAAACTGACCAAGGAGAGAAGCAACCTAGAACTAAGGAGAAACTTCCTGACAGTGAGAACAATTAACCAGTGGAACCACCTGCCTCCAGAAGCGGTGAATGCTCCAACACCGGAAGTTTTGAAGAAGAGACTGGACAGCCGTTTGTCCGAAATGGTATAGGGTTCCCTGTCTGAGCAGGAGGTTGGACTAGATGACCTCCAAGGTCCCTTCCAACTTTACTACTATTACTAAGTCGCTTTTTTTTGGAACTCCGGTCGCTAAACGAACCGTTTGTCAGTTGAGAACTATCCACGGTTGCACCCAGGGAAGGGAAGAGGGATGGAGAAAGGGCCGGCAGGGAATGAATTTTCCTGGCCGAAGGGACGGCTGCCCGGTTCAGCTGGCTGCGGCGAGGGCGGCGACCGGATCGCGCGGAGTGGCACCGGCTCAAGAAGGGCGAGGCTGGCCGAGGAACGGGTGGAGCTGCTTGTCTAGTGGAGGCTGGGGGGGGGGCGCGTGGGGGGAGAGCGAAGGAGAGGATCTTCCAGGCTGAGCGAAAGAGCCAGCGCGGATTCAGCTCCTCCTTCCTTGCGCAGAGCCGCTGCCTTCTCGGCGCTGGGCCCGAGGGCTGGGTAGGGGGCCGCCTGGTGCTGCGTCAGAGGCTCCCCGGCGGTATAAATAGGGGCGGGCGGCAGTGCCCAGCCGCAGAGCGGTCTCCCTCGGCCAGGTGGCAGCTTCGCGTCCTCCCTCCTCCTCCCCTTCCCCGCCCATCAGGCACAGCCGAGCCGTCGCCATGAGTACCTTCGGCTACGAGACGTACTTCCCCTCCTACAAGCGGCGCTTCGTGGAGAGCGCGCCCCGGGTGCATCACCTCTCCAGCGTCCGGAGCACCGGCGGCGGCGTCGGTGGCGGCGGCGGCGGCTATGGAGCTGCACGCTCGACCTACTCCAGCCTCTCGGCGCCCGTCTCCTCCGTCTCGGTCCGGCGCAGCTACACCTCCTCTTCTTCCTCCTTGCTCCTGCCTCCCTCGGTGGAAAGCCTGGACCTGACTCAGGTGGCGGCCATCAGCAACGACCTGAAGACCATCCGCAGCCAGGAGAAAGCCCAGCTGCAGGACCTCAACGACCGCTTCGCCTGCTTCATCGAGCGCGTGCACGAGCTGGAGCAGCAGAACAAGGTGCTGGAGGCCGAGCTGATGGTGCTGCGGCAGAAGCACAGCGAGCCGTCCCGCTTCCGCGCCCTCTACGAGCAGGAGATCCGCGAGCTGCGCCTGGCCACCGAGGAGGCCAACCACGAGAAGCAGGCGCTGCAGGGCGAGCGCGAGAGCCTGGAGGACACGCTGCGGGCCCTGCAGGCCCGCTACGAGGAGGAGGTGCTCAGCCGCGAGGACGCCGAGGGCCGCCTGCTGGAGGTGCGCAAGGGCGCCGACGAGGCGGCCCTGGCCCGGGCCGAGCTGGAGAAGCGCATCGACAGCCTGCTGGACGAGCTGGCCTTCCTGAAGAAAGTGCACGAGGAGGAGCTGGCCGAGCTGCAGGCCCAGATCCAGTACGCGCACCTCTCCGTCGAGATGGACGTCTCGGCCAAGCCCGACCTCTCCTCCGCCCTGCGCGACATCCGCTCCCAGTACGAGAAGCTGGCCGCGCGCAACATGCAGAACGCCGAGGAGTGGTTCCGCAGCCGCTTCACCGTCCTCACCGAGAGCGCCGCCAAGAACACCGACGCCGTCCGCGCCGCCAAGGACGAGGTCTCCGAGAGCCGGCGCCTCCTCAAGGCCAAGACGCTGGAGATCGAGGCCACCCGCGGCATGAACGAGGCCCTGGAGAAGCAGCTGCAGGAGCTGGAGGAGAAGCAGAACGCCGACCTCGCCGCCCTGCAGGTGGGCTGGGGCTGGGGTCTCTCTCTCTCTCTCTCTCTCTCTCTGTGTGTGTGTCTGTCTGTCTCCCTCTCTCCCCCTCCCTCCCTCCCTCCCTTCCTTCCTTCCCCCCCCTCTCTCT